CCTTCACAAAACTCACTGGAACTTGGGACTTGTACCCCTTTGTCAAAATTTGGTTGAAACTTGCCAACAGTTTTAAAAGTAAAGGGGTTGGGAACAAAAAGATATGTAGACACAGGCAGTGTAATGGCACAGACCTCCTTTCCTTGGGATCCAGGCTAAAAACCTGTGGTGGATTTCGGAGGGTACCAACAAGCCACTCTCCCATCACAGGCTAAAACATACAATCATAATGCATCAGTCAGAGTAATTTAGGTTGGGAAGGACCTTTGGAGGTCGTCTGGTCCAACCCCCCACTCAAGGCAGGGTCAATTTTGAAGATACATTAGCCTTTTCATTAGCCTTGTCCATTTCAGTTCTGAATATATCTGAGGAGGAAAAGTCCACAACCTGTTTCCCTTCCTGCAGCTATACACAGCCCATCGCACACATTTAAAGATAATTAGGTGCACACCTCTGATGGAGACCAAAGGCAAAAAAAAAAAACAGGGATAAAAGTGCCTCGAGTCTGAGGCTAGATATGACCCTAAGACTGGCTTACAAAAATGCAAGTCAGAGGAGTTTCTGGAACTTGAATTAATTTCTGTAGGAAGAAGCTGCTGATGAATAACTCTGGATGGGAATTGTAAGTAGCATCCAGAACATTTGACAAATGTATACCAGTCATCAGTAAGCAAATTTAAGCAGACTTGAAACTGAAACACAAACAGGCCTAGAGGAAAAGTAGTATTTTCAAATCCAGAAGCTCTGCAATCCAAAGTACTCAGAAGTTTATGGAAAAGACGCAAAATGCAGCACAAGCATGGACCTACCAGGAAAAAGGGATGGGTCCTTATGATCTTCCCACTGCCATTACCCAATTACATAATACCATTAGGGCTGAGTTGTGCATCACATTACCAACTCATCTGAACACAGTGACTCCAATGATTTTTGCATTAGCTAAATAGAACATCTCTTGTACCCAGACTGGGGTGTGGGAGTCTGAAGATTTTAACTCTCTCAGAGTATCAGGACTATGCAGTGTGATGTAGTAAAGATATGGATCTATTTCTCATAATGGTGGTGTTAACTATTCCAATATCATTGGTTGTTGACCAAAAACTGAAATCAATTTGGGCAGGAGGTAAGGAGCTAAAGAAAGAAACAACAACCCCCTCAAAGAACTACACTCATACACAACTACGAGATTTCAGAAAGCAAAGCTGTTCTGATACCTTGCAGAAGAATTCACAGAGGTCAGGAGGAGGATGGTTGTTTTCCAGCAAAGGTGCAATTGCCTTTAAAAAGAAAGAGAGAAAGAGAGAGAAAAAATTGATTAGAGGACTGCACCTGGAGTAAGCATTTTGCAGGAAAATATTTTTCTTGGAAAAAATAAAAAGCTCACTTTTTTAAAAGAGGGACAAAAGCGTCAATAGAGAAATTAGAGGTGGGCTGTGTGTTTATTTTACACGTAAGCTCAAGCACACCTCTGCTATGAATCCTCTGGAAAATTTTGCTTTAAAGTACATCAGTGTAAATACATAAAACACAGCAAAGGAGTAAAATTTTTATAATGGCTTAAATGAAAACAGGAGCAGACCAACTGTTTTAGGATGTAAAACAGCAAGGATGAATCTGGCTCACTGTTTCAGTTATACCATCTCCCTAAAAGAAAAAACTGAAGAACACCACAAACACACACATCCTTTATAAAAGAGTTTGAGCTCTTTTTGTGAGAAATAACTCACTAAAAGTAACATAGCACTGTTCTTACCTTGGAGGACCCTATTACTCAAAATCAAGCATCTAACTTTGTGAAAGTTGAGATCAACCATTCCTTCTTTGTTGCTACGCAAACCAATGTGCTTACACTCGGTAAATACATTAGAGGTCATACCTGCCGCTGAGGGTATAATGAACTTACGTTGTTGTTACTTCCTTTGTAAATTAGAAAATGGTACTAGAACAATGTATTCTCTCTATGTGATGGTGCCTTTGGGCTTTTCCAGTCTTGAGCTAAAGGGATTCCCAGTACCCATTTAAAAGTAAGACACTAAACACAGCAGCTAGGACATTTTGTATTAAGCAATTGAACACCAGATATTTTATCTGGATGGCATCTGGAGTTTTACTAAGGCAGTCTGCTTTGTTTTTTGCTCACCTGCTGGTCTCCTTAAGGATTTCAGCCCCAGTGAGTCTGCTTGCAATGACTGTGTTTCACAGTAGCCACTTCCACACACAAACAGGTCAAGAATAATGTGAATTTTAACAACGAAACCCAAGCACATCTGCAAAGATCTGTTTTGGTTACACATAACATTTGTGAAGTTTCTTTTCATTATCGTGTGCCATCCTTCCGCAACTGTTCACTCTTCCTCTGGTGCTGGTCCGGCAACAGTGGACTGATGGAGAACGCAACACTATTCAGTAAAACTAGAATATCCTCGTTACCAATCCAACACCTGAGCTAAAAATCTTCCTTGAATCCATCTTTTGGAGTGTTTGCTATAGGACCTGCCAAACCACAGGGAGCCATGTATTGCAAAATCATCAAGTGTTTATACCTGTCCGGTAACTGTCAGAGGATCACTGCATCAGAGATGTAACTGGCTGGTTGTCAGCCTAAGAAAAATGAGCTTTATTGTTTCAGCCCAGTCCTTACTGAATGTAGGGAATAACCACCAGAGACACTATCAAGCAGGTCACGGCTCCACCTGTACAGTCAGTGTGGAAGAGTGACAGCATGAAAACAGCCTATATTTTCCTTATGCGTGCTGTGGTTAAAAGCAGAAACTTGCTGTCTCGTGTTGCCCAGTTATGGCAACACGTGCTTCCCCCTCCTTACCGGGAAGGGATCAGTTGCAATATTGATCTGTTACAGCACTATCTAGAGAAGGAAAGCTGGTTCCATCTGCGTGGCAAATCACTGCGTATTTTTAAGATACTACATAAATACACAGTATTTGCAACAACTTCCTAAGAATAGCACAGGTTAGCTGTGCAACGGCAGTGAGCTCTGAATGCCCAGAAACTGCCATCTCCTTAATGGTTCAAGCACAACCTACAGAAGGGCAGGATTTGAACTCAAGAAGCCATCACCCAGAATTGCTGAATAACATAGGCTGAAAGGACCTTTGGAGGCCACCTGGTCCAACTTCCCTGCTCACAGCAGCACCACCTTACATGTTTTATTAAAAAAATCCTTCCCCCAAAACAACCGGTTATAACTGGAGGCCTGAATTACCCTTGGCACTAGAGTAAAATGAAAGCTATAGCGGATCTCAAAAAAAAAGTAAATGCCACTTCAGAAACTTATCTCAGTGAATGATTCCAGCTAAAATGGTATTTTAAGCAGCAGTTAAACACAACTCACACCTACTGGCAGCTACATGCCACCTTGTCATTTTGCAGAAAGAGTCATGGAGACGTGATACAATCAGGTGGTGGTGAGGTTCTAGATTAGATCACTGGGAAAATCTCCTGGAAATTGCCAGTGACTGAAATTAAATCACAGTGATGGGGAACCAAGTTCCATCTCTCTGATAAATTGTTGAGATTTTACGTTTTGTTGCGCAAGGAAGAGAGCTGCCATTTGATTCACTTAATTTCTATGTCTAAATAAATGCAACCTACAGAAAAGAAAAAAGTTGAGGAGGATATTTTTATAAATCAAGTAAGCAGGGGGTTAAACTGCAGTGACACATACACATATCCACACTTAGAAAAACAATCACTTGCTCACATACCATCAGCAATGAAGACATTCTGTATATGGTAGCATTAGCCCCTCAGGAAACTACTAAGCCTACGGGTTTTATAGGGCACATCTGGAAATGATGTTTTTTGACTATTTAAAGTACATATATAGATATGAACATTGCACTGTGCAGCCTAGTAAGGAGGCCATTTTGGGAGATGATTAACCCTCAACATGCTGTGCTGTTTCATATAAGTTGACGAGGAAACTTTATTTTTACTCATCTACGAAACAAGAAAAGAGGAATGACAAAACCACACAAAAAACAGTAGAACAAATGGGTTTGATCCTGCCTAAGTGCACCATCACTGGTGGAAATGCTTTCATATTTGCCGTACTTTATTGGGGCAGAGGCAAGCATTAACGGAAGTGTTATCAAACAATACAGATTTGTCCTCAGATTTTGACAGAAAGATACTCACCACAATAATGCTCTCGTGGTCTTGAGTGGTTAAGTTGTTGTTCTGAAAGAGTTGAATAGAAGAAATGAATGAGCGAAGAATACTCTGAGTTGGCACATCAGTATACACAGTCCTCTTAGTTAACACCAGACACAAGCAGAAAGGCTCAAGACTGCAATTGCTTATTTTCAGAATAAAATTAATCAAATTAAAATCATTCTCTTAAAGAAGGTGGTATACTATCTGCTATGAGGGGTTGTGCAAGCTTCCATTTCTCCCTCAGCACTTTCAGATTCAAGCCACCCCAGCCATGAAAGCTGAGCATACAAACACCAGGATGCCACAGAAGGTCTCAATCAGTTGGAAAATCAAAGCTAGCGATACATTTCTTCAAAATGTTTTCTTAAGACAGGCTGTATGTTTCTAAGAAAATTAATAAAAGGATCGTTGTGGTGTTGTATACCATTTGTTGGTAGTAAACTAACTGCTGCAGTTTTCCTGAAATTCCTTCTTCAAACATGGAACCAGTAAAAGCCAATAAATTTACTGGAAGTCAGCTATGCTACCACCTATGCAAAAGAGTTTGCTTTTGGCTTTCTCAGCAGCACGATCCATTCAGAAGTTACAAAGTTGTGAGTTGCTAAGATGCTGCAAGAAAAAAAAGCTAGCAACTTTTTTGCTTATCACAAATCTTTGTACATCAGAACTAAGACATTAAAAACCTGCTTGGCATTACATTTCCTGTCCATGAAAAGTAAACCATTTGAAATGGATGCTATAAAAGGAAGATAGATACCTCTGAAGAAGGAAAATATTTTTCTTTGACAGAATAGCTGCACAATGAATTTATTGGTGTGTACATATATATATATTGCTACAAGAATTATTAGTCACACAAACAAAGCCAATGGAATAGAAGTCAAGGGGAGTTTTACCATTGACTTGAAATAAGACACAAATCAGACCCATAATAAATTTACCATAAATAATCAACAACAAAAAAAAGCCTCAAGAGAAACGTGTTTTGTTTTGTTTCTAGAACTCTACCTAACATGGGTCAAATTCTCCTTCTCCCCAGCAAGTATAAATTCCACGCAAGTCAGCAGAAGTCACGAGCAGACTCAAAGGCAGAATTTTGACTGCCCAGTTAAAGTAAAACCCACCCACAAACTTTTAACCGTTTGTCTCTCCTCTAAATGAGACAGTGTCTTGCAGGAACACTGCTGAGGTCATACCTCTGAGAGCAGTTTTGAGACAATCTCCAGTGGTGCTTGGTGAATAGAGTCATCCTGAAGCGGAGACGTCAGCGCCATGTCCACCAGCGTCCTGATCTCCTTCAACACCACCTCCCAGCGGCTGGGGTTACTGAGCACCTTCTTGTACTTGTAAATCTTTTTCTGCAAGAAAAATGAAAGGGTCACACTGACACCACCGTAAACCCCTTGAAAACATTGACTGGGTATGTGCTTCCTACATGCAACTGTCAAGTGGGCTGCTTTGTATTTTGAGTTTTGCCTTTTCTGTTTGCTCAAAAGCTGTACTTAAAACATTTATATGGAAAAGAAAACCTCGTATGTCTAAACCAATTTTTTCTGTGGAAGCAATGATAAACTGTGATCCCTTTTTTTATTTTAAAATAAGTTTTTAAACTCCAGAGCATCTTTCTTTCCATCATCTCCTCTTGCAAACACCTTATTCCTCAGGCTAGTAACAGATACATGCTATTACACTGTTTCCAAAGCTGTAGGTCCTTCTAAAGGGAGTTAGTCATCAAGA